CCCCCAACAATGACCCTACGCGTCTTCAAAGTCTCGACACTTCCAATGAGAAGCGCCTGCACAGTCTCGAAATCCCCCTCGACAATGTTCGCTCTCCCCCTTCTCCCGCCGTAGGCGTCAACCCAGCTCTTTTCCGCAAGCAGACCTCTCTTGACATCGATGACTACTTCACCGGTCCTCGTGATATTCAGAAGCACTCAAAATGGCCTCTGGTCATGCAAATGCACGGTTCTATCATGCCCAAGTTGATCATCCCTCTGGTCGCTATTGGCGCCTGGTCGACTGCCATCACACTCATCCACAAGCAGGTCCACGATATTTCTGTTGACTCGGTTCTGCTTACCATTCTGGGTTTCGTCGTCGGTCTCAGTCTGTCGTTCCGATCCTCCACTGCGTACGAACGTTACGCAGAAGGTCGCCGATACTGGGGTATGCTTACCATGGCTTCCCAGACATTGGGCCGTATCTTCTGGATTCACGCCAAGGATGTCCCAGACCAAGACCCTCGCGAGACCATTCTCAAGAAGATTGGCGCGATGAACCTTATTGTTGCTTTCTCAGTTTCTCTCAAGCATGCCCTTCGATTCGAGCCCTACAGTGCCTACCCTGATCTAGAGCATCTCATCGGCCATCTCAACACCTTTGCCAAGGATGCCACTGTCGCTGATCCTGAGGGTCCTTGTATCAAGAAGAAGAACATGTTCAAGTCCGTTGGAGAGTACCTTGGTGTGTCGTTTGCCCAGAGCAACCCCCGTAAAGCTCTTAAGAAGACCGACAAGCCTCTTGGCAACCTCCCTCTCGAGATTCTCAACCATCTTGCCATCACCATCGATCGAATGGTCGCTCAGGAGCAACTCCCTGTCCCAATGCAGCAGACTCTTGCTTACAACCATCTCACCATGATGAACGACTGCATGACTGGCTGTGACCGTGTTCTCAACACACCTCTCCCCATTGCTTACACCATTGCCATCAGCCAGATCACCTTCGTTTATGTCTTTGTCCTGCCCTTCCAGCTTGTCGATAAACTCCAGTATATCACGATTCCGGCTTCTGTTGTCGCCGCTTATATTATTTTCGGACTTCTATTCATCGGCCAAGAAATCGAGAACCCCTTTGGACACGACGTTAATGATCTCCCTCTCGAGATCTATTGCGATCAGATTGCGGCCGACATGGATATCATCGCGTCTCATGATAAGCGCGAGCCGGATGCGTTCCTCCTCAGCCACAACAGCATGCCTCTCTACCCTGTTAGCACTGCCTCTTCCAACGCATGGATGAAGCGAAGTGACGAGAAGCTTCGCCAGACTATCAGGGACAAGCCAAACACCATGTTTGAGTGGCGTAAGGAGATTGCCCGCAAGAAGCTGAACGGCGGCAAGTTTGGCACCAACGACATGAAGATGAACCCTGGCGACCATAACGTCTAGTTAGATCTTTCCTTGTTATACCCCTCTAATGCATGTTGTATGGACTCCTCGAGGGAGTTGTCTGACAACTACGGCGCATCAAAATAAGCTATGTCTAGTTTCGGTTCTTTATTAATTTGGTTGGTTTGCTCTGAAGGACCTCAGAGGGGTTACTTCATGTTGAGTGTGAAAAGGTTCGGCAAATATCACTGGGTGTTTTAAATGGTCAGCAATAGCGTTTTAGTCTGTTCAATCTTCAATACAAATTGATCCAAGAATTGGTTCCTCTTTAGTGACCTCTACTGAATATCAAAGTCGCATGAAGTTGAATCCAATCATTCATTACCTTATCTTATCACGGTCTGACATGACATGGATGGAGGGGTAGAATCGGAGCGGAATTTCAGGGCAACCGTGCCCCGCGATTTCAAGCTCTGCATCCGTCCCCGGCGAATGATGACTCGCAGGAAAGAAGTGAAAGAGTCAAAGCCTTTTTTTTTTGGTTAACCCTTGAGCCCACTTGACTCACACTCACTCGCTCGGAATCGCCATTGATGCTCGCGCGGCGCTTCACTTCCTCCACCGTTTTCTCTTCTTCTACTTCTTGTTATCTTGTGACATCCTCTTTGCCATTGCGACAAGCTTTTGTCCAGACTCGTACTCTTTCTCTACTCTCGACTCGCCAGTCTCCGCGACAACAGACATTGCAACGCGACTACAAGTACCCCTCCTCCATCAAATATATACGCACCATGGCGACAGACGCCAACGCTCTCGCCGACCAGCTCCAGCAGCTTGGTCTCGACAACATCGAGTCTTTCCCTGGCTGCCACCCTGATACCAACCCCGTCGATATCTACCGTTCACACATCACAAGTCTGTTGGCGCCTATTACTGGTGTCGATCCTAAGATTATCTACCCCGCCATCCAGTGGACTCAGACTCTCGATAAGGGAGATGCTATTCTTGCTGTTCCTGCTCTCCGAGTGAAGGGCAAGAAGCCCCAAGAGCTTGCTGAGGAATGGGTTGCTCAGGTGAGTCGCATAAAATAGCAATTGCTGAATTATAGCTAACATGATCAAGTTCCCCGAATCTCCTCTTATTGAGAAGCCTACCGTTGCTGGTCCCTTCATCTCCTTCTTCTTCAAGCCCAACAAGCTTACCAGCATGCTCCTCCCTACGATTCGAAAGCGCGCCAACAACTACGGCAAGAACCCTTACAACGGTCTCCGAGACCCCAACGACCCAAACTCTGGCAGGAAGCGCATGATTGTCGAGTTCTCCTCGCCCAACATTGCCAAACCTTTCCACGCAGGTCATCTCCGAAGTACCATCATTGGTGGTTTTCTCGCTTCTTTGTACGAGAGTGCTGGATGGGAGGTTACCCGAATGAACTACCTTGGTGACTGGGGTAAGCAGTATGGTCTGTTGGCTTTAGCTTGGGAGAAGTGGGGTGATGAGGAGGCCCTCAAGGCCGATCCTATTAACCACCTCTTCAACCTTTACGTCCGAATCAACCAGGACATGTCCGCTGAGAAGGAGGAGATTGCGGCCAAGAAGGCTGCTGGTGAGGACATCACTGCGCTTGAGGAGAAGTCCCTGGACGAGCAAGCCCGAAAGTACTTCCGACGAATGACAGATGGTGACAAGGAGGCCGTCGAGCTCTGGCGACGATTCCGAGATCTCAGCATTACTCGATACAAGAAGACCTATGCTCGACTCAACATTGAGTACGACGAGTACTCAGGAGAGTCTCAGGTCCCTGAGGAAGACATGGAGAAGGCGGCCAAGGTCCTCTCTGAGAAGGGCCTTACCGAGGACGCTAACGGTGCTATCCTCATTGACTTCTCCAAGCACGTCCCTGGCAAGCCTGGTAAGAGTCTCGAGAAGGTCATTCTCCGAAAGAAGGACGGCACTGCGCTGTACCTCACCCGAGATATCAGCGAGCTCCTTAACCGACAGGAGAAGTACAACTTTGACCACATGATCTACGTCGTTGCTTCTCAACAGGATCTCCACTTGAAGCAACTCTTCAAGACCATTGAGCTTATGGGCCACGAGGATATTGCTAAGAAGTGCCAGCACATCAACTTCGGCATGGTTCTTGGCATGAGCACCCGAAAGGGTACTGTCAAATTCCTTGACGACATTCTCCGTGACGTCGCCGACAAGATGCACGAGGTCATGAAGAAGAACGAGACCAAGTACTCTCAGGTCGAGAACCCTGAGGCCGTTGCCGATATCCTTGGTATCAGCAGTGTTATGGTCCAGGACATGTCTGGAAAGCGGTAGGTATCCCGAACTCATTGAGAAATTTGTTACTAACAACACTAGAATCAACAACTACAAGTTCGACATGGACGTCATGACCTCTTTCGAGGGTGACACTGGCCCCTACCTCCAGTATGCTCATGCCCGTCTGTGCTCTATCCGCCGACGAGTTGGTCTCTCCGATGATGAGCTGGCCACTGCCAACTACGAGCTCCTGACTGAGAAGCACGCTACCGACCTCGTCCGACTACTTAGCCAGTGGCCCGACGTGGTCCAGAACACTCTCAAGACCCTTGAGCCCACCACCATCTTGACATACCTGTTCAAGATGACACACGTGCTCAGCTCCAGCTACGATCACCTCCGAATTGTCGGCAGCGAGGCTGAGCTTCAGAAGGCTCGTATGGCTCTGTACGATGCTGCCCGAATTGTCCTCCACAATGGCATGAGTCTGCTTGGTCTTACACCTGTTGAGCGGTATGTTCCCCAAAGATACCTATTTATGAGTAATTGCTAATGATGTACAGAATGTAAGCTACCAGTTTGAACGAGAATTTGTAAAAGAAATGGGACAGGAATTTTAAGAAGGCATGGAATAATGGGCGTCGAGTCTTATCTCGACTGATGGCGCATTAGACGAGACTATGAAAAGTTTTAATATACCCATTCAATTACCTTTGTGGCAGCTTCAAACCTCGTTGATTTAAATCGCCCAGTTCGACTTGAAGCGAGGGTTTCTCTGGTATCCACCAGTGATAGACCAAAGCCCTCAACTCTACGATCCAAAACAGCATATGCACATCGAGGAGTCATGAGCTCTTCCGTAGTGATGAGTCGGTTGGTTACCCACAGTGTTACTTGAAAGTGGTAGATTGCTCGGCCTGACTCACTTACCTCAGTTAGTGACTTTATCAAGTTTGTCTAGGCAGCTTCAGAGCGAAATCGGACAATGCATGTGACGCGAATATAGAACTCGAATCGCCATCGAAAGGCAGCAATTGAGAGTCAGATGCTTTGTTAATGAATTATATTTCTCGTTTTGTCCCGTAGCTGAGATTTTCGGCCGTAATTCCCATGCATTGTTCCCCTGTTTCTCTATCATACAGCAGCCTGTCGATTTAAAGCTCAATTGATTCATTCACTGCTGAGCCGCAGCAGAAATTGTATCATGCCCGATTGCAAATCGTTATGTCTTCTCATTCGTGACGTTCCTGGACCCCAGCAATCTCCATAATCGTACAATCAACCCACCTTGACTCTCCACCAACTTTTGCCGTCGTATGCAGAAAGATACGTCGTTCCATAATCCAATTGCGCTTAAGCAGAGGGAACCTTGGTCCGGATCTGAACGCCGTGCCAGCCCTTGACAAGGTCGCCAAGAGCAGCATTCACCATGCGCTGCTGCTTGAGAATTGTCTGGCCCTTGAAAGCAGGGGATGTGATATCGATGGCATACATGCTCCCACAACCACCCGAGACATCTTGGACAAGTAGCTCGGTGGGCTGAAGCTTCTCGGAGAGTATTTCGGCGATGGCTGATTCAGCGGGGCTCATGGAAGGCAGATCGGGCTCTTCCTCAACGGCAGCAGAGAATCGAGATGTAGAAGTCGAGAGAAGTCTTCGGGGCGTTGATGTAGGTGTCTGTGTTGTAATGCGGGTGATGGCCGGAGGAGCGCGGATGAGGGTGCGCAGAGGAAGGCGAGCAGAGCGCATTGCTGCGCGGCGACAGGTATTGCAGATCATTGTGTTGGTGTACAATTGTATCAATTGGCTTTTGCTAGAAGAGAGGTGAAGGATGTTAATGACGATGGTGGAGTTTGAGTCTGGACCGAAGTTGGGATTACCTAATTGGGATACATGGAGAGGAAAAGAATGTGGAGGGGTTTGTAATCGAGCGATCACGGTTTGTGGACGTGGGTCAAAATGGAGTGAATGCTGTTGTTTTATTGCTTTAATTGACCTACACTCATTAGTACAGCTTGTAAGTTACAGTACTTCGTAGTAACTATCCCTCTGAGAGGCCCTTTACTGAAGGATTAAGTGCCAAAGAGTCATTACCGAGTTCGTATTGGATTAGTAGGTAGACACAAGCCTAAACCTGGTGGGACCGGTGGAAAACTAACTATTGCTGCTGTACGACGCCTTTTCAGACAATCTTTTTCCAACCAATTTGACTCATTCTCCAGCGCATTTTATCCAATACCCCAGTCCATCATCTCACCTGAACCCGTCTCATCTCAGCTGGAAAATTCACCCAACCCATCATGCCACGCAAGGTACGATTGTATTCCCTCCTTACTCCCGTATATCCGTCCAATGCTAAGCCCAACTAGACTCGAACCCCCGAGTCTCTCGCTCTCAATCGCGAGAACCAGCGTCGCTCTCGCGCAAGACAGCGTGAATTACTCGACGATCTGCAGAGTCGCGTGCGTGAGTTTGAGCGTCGCGATGGCCAGGCTACGCTGGAGATGCAGCGTGTTGCGAGGGCCGTTGCGGGCGAGAATGCTGCCTTGAGAGGTTTGCTTGCTGCCAAGGGCGTGTCGGCTGACGAGGTTGAGGCTCATGTTGAGGCTGCCAGGCATGAGGAAAAGATGGTTGCCAGAGCGGGCGTGGCGACTATCACGCCTGTTTCTACGCCGTCTTCCAATGCTTCCCCTGTTGTTATTACCTCGAGACCTATGCAGTGCTCGCAGCCTCAAGGATGTGGCCCCGTGAGGGAGAATAGCAACCCTCCGTTTGCTTTTCAGCCCAAGGTGTACTCACCACCAACACCTGCTACGACTGCTACGTCTTGCACAGAAGAATCAGGCTGCTGCCCGAGACCGCAGCCCGTGTCGCAACCACAGCAACAGCTCTTAACCCAACAACCAAAATCTCTTGACAAGATTCACTGCATGGAAGCTGCTACTATCCTCGCTCAGATCCGAGGTCAATCAGACATATCTCAAGCTCGATCTGCTCTTGGATGCGCCGAGGGCGAGACCTGTATGGTCCGTAATACGGATTTGCTCAATTTGATGGATGAGATGACCTGATACTATGTTTCGCTACATATACCCCCCAAAATAACTCAGTTCTTCCAGTTCCATCTATCAGAAACCCACCGAAGGAGATACACCAACCCCAAAAGCACCGGAACCTCGATCAGCGGGCCAACCGTCGCTGCAAGCGCTTGGTCACTACTAGGTCCGAACGTGGTAATAGCCACAGCTATTGCAAGCTCGAAATTGTTACTCGCTGCAGTGAAACTCTGCGTTGTGGAGAGCGGGTACCCGAAACCAGCATGTCGAGATACCAGAAGTGTTGCGAAAAAGACTATGACAAAGTAGACGATGAGAGGGGCTGCGACGCGTACTACAGACACGATCTGATGGACCACTTGATGGCCTTGGGAAGCGAAGAGGATGAGAATGGTGTAAAGAAGGCCAATGAGAGACCAGGGGGAGATGATGCGCAAAAAGACACGCTCATACCAATCTGACCCGACCATCTTGCGCAAGGAAAAGCGAGTGATGATAGCTGCGCCGAGGGGGATGCCGAGAAAGACTGCTACACTGGTTGCAACGGTTGAGTACGACACCTCAAGAGAGCCCTCCTCTCCACTGATCACCGAGATAAAGAACACAGACATTGGCGCGTATAGAGCCATCTGCAGTATCGAGTTGATAGCCACGAGGATAGCGCAGTATTCCGCGTCGCCGCCCGCAAGACCGTTCCATATCAGCACCATGGCGATGCAGCGTGCAAGACCTACGAGAATAAGGCCGATGCGAAGTTCGGGTTTGTCTGGGAGGAAGGCCCATGCGAGGCCGAGCTATCATCGTCAGAATATTGTACGTTTGAGGAAATGGGGCTATGGGTTACCATCAAAAAGGGTGCAACTATCCAGTTGATGAATATGCTAAAGAGAATTTGCTTCCAGACGTCACGCTGGGAGAAGATCTCGTGGAGACTCTCGTATCGGACTTTGCAGAGGATGGGATACATCATAACAAGCAAGCCGACAGCTAGCACATCTGATCAGTATACTTGTCCCACCGGATAAGCTGTTTACATACCTATTGGAACAGAAACACCAACAAATTTGCCCTTCTCAAGAGCTGGTCCAGTCGAAGGGACAAAGTTGCCCAGGAGGATACCGACTACCATGGCAAGGAAGATCCATACTGCTAGAAAACGGTCGAGCCAACCGAGGGACTTGAAAGCCGAGACGTTTTCCTTGTCTTTGGGTTCTTCGCAAGGTTGTATATTGCGTTCGGTATCGTGAGTAGAGGATTGCTCTTTTGTACGAGGATCTGTTTCCGACATATTGTCTTTGTTGGGCAATACCAATATGATGTTGTAAATGATTGAGCTTAATTTTGCATTGGAATAAGGGAGGATATTATAGATTTGATGATTCACTTGGACAGCAATGTCGCATTTCTGATTTTCTGATCCAACCTTTTTGAACATTTGACACTGGGCATGGTGCAATGGACCAATCACAGATGGGGCATGACACAGTCCCTCCGGAGACGGCGCCGGAGGCACGGAGCTTTGTTCTCGGCGTAGCCACAACGGGATATTTCTTATCTGCCGGATCTTATATACCTGCGATAAGACTCAAATGCTTTACATGCAGATTCTCACTAGATCTTAGTCAACGACGATGATTACTTTGGTGCATGCTCTTTCGTCACCCTTCTCAGCTAATTCGGCCATGGTCTTGTGGGTGGCTGGTAGCGATATCGGTGAATTAGCTAGCCAAGCTTTTTAGTTGGAAGTTGTGTTGTACAGAGTTGTGCGTTGAAGTTGAATTGGTGTTGGTGTGTCTGCACGCGGGAACAATCACGAGCAACGGCGTCTCACAACGGGCCTACCGTTTAACCGTGATACAAAACGTGGTGTGAGTACCCGTTGCATGCATTCTCAAGGCCATGCAACGATAAAAGTCAGTAATAAGAATGAGGCACCGATTCAACAGCATGTGAAAAGAGCAAAGTTGCCACATCATGATCAATCAATCAATCACCTCATGTAGAGTACGCCCCATCCTCAATAATTGAAAAGAAAAATCAAGAATATTTTCTCTTTTATTTTTTATTTTTTTATTTTAGAAACCTCTCCCGCCCTACATATGCACATGCATGCAAGGTGTCGTCGTGGGCCCAATTGGCTAGACTACGTGTATCCAAGCAAAGACTAGTGCGCGTTTCTTTTTATGTACCGCAAATACGAGGTTCAGCTCGGTACGACACGGGAAGTGCTGCATAAGTCTCGCATAGTGGGATGGACGGTGTTATCTGATGTAGTTGGTTAGGTATGACTTCACCAAGGAAACAAAACCATCGCGGGTTGGGCAGCGGAAGCAAGCCCATGGCAATGCAAGGTAGCATTTGTTTCTCCTGACGATCGTGGGGCAGATTAAGATGTGCAAGGAGGATCAAGAGGATCGGATGACGATGTTTGATTGAGTTTCAAGTGACGGGAACATGGTAGTATTCGCTTTGTGTACGGAGTACGGAGTACAACGGTCAGAGTTAAAGGTTGGTGGTTGAGTTGCTATTTCGATAGATATACCACCGCAAACTTGCATACAACTAGACCATTTTCAACCATGAATTTTGTCTTGATTTGTCTCGACTGCATGTACGCGCAATCGTCCCATGCGGCTCTATCATAGATGACTCTATGTTTAGCGACGTGGGACCCAGTTTCATCATCCGTGCAGTGCCTGTCGATCTCATGTTGACATCCCATCCCAACCTCCGCCTGCAGATTTCCTCAGCTGTGCAGTGATACCGACTCTTTCACTCTGCAACTAACCATTTAGTCCATTGGCAGAGAATATATACAACACAGTTGTCTCAAATATGTCCTCTCTTCTTATTCGTAGGATTGCTTCTCATGGCCTGGAATCTCGTAAAGTCCACTATCCCGCAGAAACCCACTTTCTTTCCATCTTTCTTTTCTTTCCATGATGGGGATGGGGATCAACCCACAGCTTGTGTCAATAATGGGGCTATGATGATCGTATATAGGATCCCCAGCCAACCTATTTCCAAGGCGGAAATGTTGGGTTCAGGTTTATCTCGTTTAAATCCTCCCTTTCTTCTCTTTTCCGTTTCCTTTTCTTTCTCGTATCTTGCTGATTTTCTTCGTGATTGCGGAGAACGTGATTTGGTGTGTTTCTTTTCATCATGGTGCGATTGAGTATAGTGACTGCGCTGTACGCTGCGGTGGTCAGCGCGGTAGACTTTGATAAGATCGCTGTTGGGAAGGGCCATAGTCGGTTACCGGGTGCTTATATCTTTGAATTTGAAGAGAATCATGTGCGTATGCTCTCATATCTTATATCCCTTTCCATAACTAACAGAACTTAGGACTGCGCCGACTTCTTCGCCAAGGCTTCGGCACGAGGCAAGACTCGTATGCAGTACAACTACAAGCTATTCAAAGGAGCTTCGATCCAATTCACCGATATCGACAATGCTGAAGACCTAGCTTCCGAGATGGCATTGTTGCCGGGTATCAAGCAAAAATGGCCTGTTCAGACATTCAGCATCCCCAAGCCAGAGGTTCACTGGACGGGTACACCGGGAATGGAGTACAAGTCCATTCAAAAACGAGGCTTCGAGGAGAGGGATGCTGTGAATGATACGTTCTCGCCACATGTCATGACGCAGGTCGATAAGTTGAGGGCAGAGGGTGTCACGGGCAAGGGTCTCAAGGTTGCCCTCGTCGACAGTGGTGTAAGCCAT